GTCAAAAAAGAGCTGGAAAGGGGGGTTAGACGAGTTTCACATTGGAAGAACGGCGGTTAAGGGAGTGTTCGGGCGAGCGCAGGAAGGCGACGCAATGTCTGCAATAGCAGACAACACAACCAAGCAGACAACTTCGCTCCAATGCGAAAATAAAAGGTGAACGGCAATTAGATTTCGTAGTCAGCCTAGCGAGGGGCGGAGGCCTCCCGTCTCCCACTGTTCACGCCCTTATTGTTTCCTATCCAGACCGTTTTCCGACCTCATTCCTGCACAAATGGTATCAGAGGGGCGTCGTATTCAAACCATGTGCAGATCTCCGAAACCATTTTTCCGTGAACAGTGCCTTTAAAAGAATATTAGGATCGAGCATGCCGTTTGCAAAGATCGCTCCTTGTCGTGTTTGGGGTAACCCTTGTTCCCTTGCTAAGCCTTGAAGTGTATGAAAGAGTACTGGTGAACATTGACCTCTTTACCCAAAAATCTTCTCGGATGGATTCATTAGTGGAAGTGAAGAAAACAACTAGACTCATCGATGAGGTGATTATGGGACGGAATACCGTAGTGCTTGTAAATGGTAACGAAAAAGTTGTGAAACGATTCGACCAAGGACTGTTTCATACCGGTATTTTACGCAATAACTGTGCATGAGGAAATGTGATCTGGCCGTAGAGATAGAGGACTTGGCCAGATCGAAGCGACGATTGTTTTCATCAAAGTCCATTGTTTCTGAAACAAGCCAGATTCAGCAGTTGGCAGTTGGCGGAAGATCATATTCCCCTTGAAGGAAGCCCGTCGCGGTAAGCCCGACACCCAATTTTCAGTTTACAGCACAATCTGACCATATCACTCTTAGTATATGCATATGATTACGCAGATGGAGAAGGGAAGGATGTCTATGATGCTGAGCTTGCACAGAAAAATCTGACATGCCAGTACCCAGTTTTTGAAAGGAACGTCCGTTCCGCGCGTCCGTCGTTACTAGGTCATCCCGCCCACTTCGCAGAGGGGAGATTACGGTACTACTAACTGACAGTTTAGCGAATGATTTGCCTGGTCTGTGTTATCTCCACTTTTATGACTGCCATAGACCGAGCGCAATTCGTATGCCCCGCCGATAAGTGCGACCTTCCTCAAAGATAGCGGACACGCCGCATCTGTCGCACGCGGAGTGTCCGCGATCTTGGAACACCAGCTGAAAACGATGGTGTCTTCTAAAAGTTGGACCTTAATGACTAGAATAGTCGTGGGTAGCTTATCTTTACAAAAGGCACCCCGCCGAAATATGAGCACTGAATTGGGATGTCATGTATCCGGCGTCCTCAAGGTGATCTCCACAATGGTAGGAAGATTTCCTGAAGAAAATGGGTCATGTAAGGTTGTCAAAGTGAGCCCAAGAATCTTTATAGTCTAGTGGATGAGTTTTCTGTCGATACCTTGAGGCAGAAAGGAGTTGAGTATTGGGAAACATGCCTCGAGAACAGAAATATTCCTTCTGCTTAATCTTACCTTCTTCAAACCGAATCGAGTGACTTGAAAAATGGAAAGGAGTGGGTTCAGCAGCTAGAAAGAGTTCCGAGCAAATTTTGTCGAAGTAGGCGTTCGACCTCATTGTTCCCTTGCATCGGGAGCGATTCTTTCAAGAAGTGTAGAGAAACTCGACATTAACACCTCCTCAAGTTGCAGGAAGGAGAACTCGCAACCGCCATTGCGCCAGAGGGTGCAGGAGCTAGGTAGGGTGTAGGTTGATGTATGCCCTTGCTCAGCGTGGTGCTAGCTTCATCGGAATTACTATCTTATGACGACGGAGTGGAGTTTTTGGAGTGCTATTTTTTACAAAATGAAAGCTCTTCCGTCAATTTGTTCTGGGTTCCGCAATGATGGTTTTAGTTCCTATCTAGTAGTACTGTAGGAACGACAGTAAGTTACCACCCTATTGAAATCACACTATTGAACTGTCATTTCGGTACTAACTGGCGTCCAAGTGAGGGGAAGTCGGGTCGAGTATGTTATAGATGGTAGTGGTCGCATAAATGCATGGAATCTGGGACCATGAGGCAACTGTCAAATATCTACCCCGCCTACGTTTGCGTCCGCAGTCTCGACTGTCCGTTATGCTTCTTCTCGGCATAAGAAGGCATAAGGCGTCCTGACGAAGGCGGTAANGCCGAAACGTTGACTGAATAAAGTGCTGTACCATCTTGGCTGAGGCTTTACCACACACCTTCATACCTAAGAAGGCACAGTTGTATTAGGTGATGAGGTCATATTTATTGCAGGAAGAAGGAGTTACTACTGCCAAATCGCCTGCTGAAGGTGCTGAAGCAAAACCGGGAGCTCCCAAGGTTAGTATCGACTATAAATTTATGCTTTTGAATGAAAGTAGATGTTGCACTTGCTCTTCTTGTACTCAAATGAGATCTTCTGATTGAAGGAAGAGGGGCTTGCTACCGCCATTTCACCTGCTGAGGGTGCTGAAGGCAGACCAGGAGCTTCCAAGGTCCGTGTCCTGAATAAAATCAGGTGTTGCAGTTGTTCGTAATTGTATCCGAATAAGGTCTTCTGATTGCAGGAAGAGGGGCGTCCGATCACCATTTCGCCTGCAGAGGGCGCTCTGCTCAAACCTGGAGCTCCCAAGGTTCGTTTCACACAATGACAATCATGTTTATCGAGGGAGTGTGATTAGTAGAATTCACGGTCTCTGGGTTTCTTCGAACGAAAGCTGTATTTGATTTTATCAAAAAAATGAAGTAATCCAGCGTGAAGCATGTATCTAGAAAAAAAGGAAAACTGTCTCTGCTGGTTAGCCGGCATAGAAACATCAAGCATGGAAGGGGTATAGAAGCTTGGGAATGTTGATTGACATAGGCAAAAAATCCTCCAGCGTCCAGAAGGTGGCTTCCAGAGTGTCAGGACGATTTTTCGGAGAAAATGGGATAGGTAAGGATTGACAGAGTGAGCCCAAGGTTCCTTATAGCCTAGTGCATGAGTCCTCTGACGATCTCTTGAGGCAGCGGGGAGTTGAGGGTTGAGGAAAATGTCTCGAAAACAGAAGTACTCCCTGAAAGAGTGAGCAACCCAAGCCAACCTTGCCGAGATAGGTGTTCGACCTCATTTTTCCCTTGAATCAGAAACCATTTGTTCAACATGTACATAGGAACCTTCAAATTAACACCTCCCCGAGTTGCAGGAAGGAGAACTTGCGAGCGCAGCTGGGCCTGCGGGTGCAGAAGGCAGACCTGGAGCTCCCAAGGTTAGTGTCGCACGAGTACGCTTAATTATGTTATGTACTTCCTAATTGAGAAGAGATTTTCTTTAACTCATAAGATCTTGCGATTGTAGGAAGGAGAACTTGCAACCGCCGTTGGGCCTGAGGGTGCAGAAGGCAGGCCTGGAGTTCCCAAGGTAAGTGTCGCGCAAATGCAATAATAGTTAGTTCTTGGAGAAAAGATTTTGTTTGACTGAAGAGATCTTGCGCTTGCAGGAAGGAGAACTTGCGACAGCCGTCGGGCCTGAGGGTGCAGAAGGCAGGCCTGGAGTTCCCAAGGTAAGTGTCGCGCAAATGCGATCATAGTAGTACTTGGAGAAAAGATTTTCTTCGACTTAGGAGGTCTTGTGTTTGCAGGAAGGAGAACTTGCGACCGCCATTACGCCTGAGGGTGCAGAAGGAAGACCCGGAGTTCCCAAGGTGAGCATGGGGCAAATATAATTATGTGCTGTTTATCGCCTTTGAGCTTAAGTCTTCACCCAAGTCTGGTACCCTCATGAATACCTGTCTTATTCTTGATTTAATTTGGAGTCTTCTTGCTGAACATAATCTACAACTTGTTGCCATGTGTATGATCTAATCCGGATTCTTTCCCATTCTCAGAAAACTCCTGTACCTGCTTTTTGTTTTTGGGGGCAGCTGTACGCTCTATAGCCGAAATGATTATTATTGTCATTTCACCCAGTTCAGGAGCGAGAATAAGGCATAACCTTTCCNCTTGATTTAATTTGGAGTCTTCTTGCTGAACATAATCTACAACTTGTTGCCATGTGTATGATCTAATCCGGATTCTTTCCCATTCTCAGAAACTGTTTACTGCACCTGCTTTTTGTAAACTAATCAACCTCTTTTGGAAGCGTTACCTAATGGAGTCACGTTTGGGAGTTATGTGGTTTGTTGTAGTTATCTTAAAAGAGTGCTTGAACTCCACCACAAGCTTGTTTCTCAAATCTAAGGAGTAGACGTGTTTCACATCACTTCGGCATCGAGGGGGCAGGTGTACGCTCTATAGCCGAAATGATCATTATTGTCATTTTACCCAGTCCAGGTGGGAGAGTACGGCAAAACCTTTCCTGAGTACCAATTTCCACTGGAGTGATGTGTAAATATTATCTTTCCCGACTTTGCGGCCTCTCAAATCGTCCTGACTTCTCAAACTACATGATCTACTACTTCGCTTACATTTAACTGTCCCACAATTCTTCCATAATGCAGTCACTGTACAGAGACTCACAGTGTTACCATACTGAGTATAAATGAAATATTAATTCCAATACTGAACGTGAAATATTAATATTGTACCTGTAGAAACACTCGAAATGAGGCTTTCACATTTTCAGGAAGAAGGGCTTGCTGCCGGTGTTAGGCCCTCCCCTGGATTTCCTGCTCCTGCTCCTGGTGCAGAGCGCTCACCTGCAGTTGCTAAGGTTGGTATTCTTCAATTATAATTTGGTTCCATATTTTCCTGTTAGCAACGATTATGAACATGCTTTCGAAGCAAACAAATTTGACGATAACATGTAAACTGGGTAAGAATGGGATGATGAGGCGGGGACAATCTGCGCAGATCTCCTGTTCAATCAAGCGCATATTAGAAAGTGGCCTGTCTTAGGGGAAAAAGATCTGCCGCCCAAGTTCAAACAAGCGTACGCTCGGAAGGTAGCGTACCAGCTCTTATTTTTGGCGGGATACGTAGATCGAATAGATATATAACTGTTCATAACTCGGCCACTTCAAGGAAGCAATCGAGAAATAAGACTAGAGTTGAAAGGGAGTTGCCTTCCATCACGACAATGCGTAACCAACCTCATTGTTAATGACCCGGTACAAAGTGACAAAACTTCGTCGGAAGTCTCGATGCAGTCACCGTGCAGCTACCGTCTGACTATCATCTGTTTATAGTTCTGCAAAGGTTCCCTTGATAGTAAGTGTCGCGAAATAGGGTGTGCGTAGAGTGTGGCTTCTGCATCTGCGCTGATGTTGTCTGCCATGCGTCTGTATGGTCCTTATCGAAGCGACCTCAAATCGTGGAAGGGGCGGAAGCCTGCGTAACAAAGGTGCTGTGATAAAGATGTTGTGGCACTAATCGCCTTCTCCCACCGGCACGTGCCTACCTACTACCTGCGTCTAATCGGATGTGCGCGCAATGAGATAAGAGTTCCTATGCTCAAGCTCTTGAGTCACTAAAGGACTTCGGCACCCGCTGCCCAAACGAGTACGATGTCCGCAGACGCGTGTCCCGCGGCCCCGAGTTCCCTCGCTCGTCCTGGAAGTTCCTAGGTGCTCGCGTCCTCCACGAGCTGCAGATGTCCATAACTGCCCGGCGGCAGCTAGCAGCTCGTATTCCTTCCATCTTCCTCCTTGCACCTTGGAACCTCTTCTTCCGTACGACCCTGGCAGTGCGGTGATCTTGGAACCTGGGATCCGTTATCCCTCCTGCTGTCGAGGCCGGTTTACGACGAAAACAGCAACGATGACTATGCGCAAGAAGAAGAGCTGATCCAGGCGATATCTTGACATGGGGAAAAAAGACGAAGGTGTTGTGTGCACACTCCGCGGCTCCCATTGCCATGTAGCAATCGATGCAAACGGCGCGTAGCACGATTGGTGGAAACGGTAGAGCGCGTCGAATATTACGTGCGCGGTGTAGTGACAGCCCTGGCATTAAAGAAGTCATGGGCTTCACGACAGTAAGGAATTAGCCGACCGAAGCGCCGCTGGAAATCACTTGGCCAAGTTTTTCGTCGGTAAATCACAGGAGTTCTATATAAATGGATTACGAAAATGGCAAAAGGTCATAGATGGTAACGACCTTGATTAGAAATTGTTTTAAACAGAAAATACTCGTTCAATTATGTGCGAGAAAACACCGCGGAGGTTTTCATAAGAGCTGGTATTTTGGATCAAGACCTTTTAATTGTCCTCTCTAGTAAGATGGAAAAACGAGATTCAAAGGCAGATTCGGTAAAAGGGAAACTGCAGCGTTAGAAGCTCAAGCTACTTTAACCTTTTGCTTTCTTGAAATGCGTGAATCTACCGCTTCGCTAAGATATAGTGGAAGTTCTCAATGAGGCCACAATGCAAGGGAAGCGCAATAACAAAAAGTCAAAAACTTCCCATAATTGCAGGAGGAAGGACTCGCTGCCGTTACTGAACCCTCACCTGGAGCTCCTAAGGTGAATTACTCATAGCTACGATTGATTTCTATCTTTTTCTTTGCGCTAAAACTTACACTTTTATAATGCGGACCCAATTTATATTCACTCTTTCGCAGCACGGAAAAAGCTAAATCAATGAGATGCTGGGCTGTTCTGAAAGCAAAAAAAGCTGTCCTACCGAAAGAGTGCCCTAACTGCTTGGCCTCTTGATCTGGGCAAATTTTCTACTTACCTAGAAATGGCTATTCTGCTGCCTTCGAAAAAGCATAGCAGTCATACACCGAGGATGTTTTTATAATTACAGGAGAAAGAACGCGCTGCCGAAGTTGCTGGACCCACACCTGGTGTACCTCCTTCTACTACTGAGCGCTCACCTGAGGTTGCTAGGGTTAGTTACCTAATTACGAAGTCCTCTTGTGACCTCCAAGTATGCATAATTGTGAAATGGACCTCTTTGGAATCATGGAACTGGTAAAATTGGAAGTTTAGATACAGAAAGTAATTTCGGAGACGACAGTGTGTTGAAATTTTTCAACTGCAGGAAGGACTTGCTGCCGCCGCTGGTCCTGCTGCCGGTACTGACCGCTCACCTGGTGTTCCCGTTCCTTCTTCTGATCGCTCGCCCGGAGCTCCCAAGGTTGTGCCTTACAAACATTGGAATGTATATGTTTTGAAAGTAATCTACTTCAAAATATAGGCTCCAGTAGAATGGATAGACGGAATTCAGAAAAATTCACGGAAGACTCAGTGTAACTGACTTTCAAACCGAACCTAGCGGATGCATAGCTCTTCAGACTTCTCAGACTTCGTGCATCTCCTACTTTACTTATTTGAGAGTGGCTAAATCACCATACACGGAAGCATAGCAGCAATTCTCTGAGGTCTTTATGAATACAGGCGAAAGGGCTTGTTTCTGCTGGTTGCCTTACTGTTTCTAACCAATCATCTGGAGCTGCTGGCGCCTGACGTATTCCGTTGTTTTTGTGCTCGTTAGGTTGAAACGAGAACGTCTTTGGCACGGGTGCCGAACTTTCCCCCGAATTCCCACGGCAAGCGGCAGTGGTCACGTGGCGGATACTCTATCTTTGCCCTGGGAACTCAGCCTTTTCCCTTCATAGTGCGCGACTGCGCCATCAGGTGCGGCTGACGCGACGTTGTTTACGAGGAGAAAATTCCGGACCCCCTTGGCATGAACCCTCTAGTGTAATTTAAATTAGAGTAAAATTCAGAAAGCTGCTAAGGGAACTGCTCTGAGTTATGCTCTGAAACCGTCAAGCTTTGTTTCAGAAACGTCAGCAGTACCTTTTCTAATACTAAGCTGGTCGACTAAGTAGACTCCCATTCGGGACCTGAAAGAAAGGGAACAAATTGGGAATTTCGGTCGTGAGCAAGCGAAGGCTTGTCAAAGAATTATGAGATCCGTCCTCTCACCATATTCCCGGCATTATTATAAAAAAAACCTCTCAAGCACTCGACATTGCTTAGATAATCCCTCACAAATGGGTAGCAAAGGACGATGAAGGTTGACAAATCGAACTTTCACAGGAATAAACGAACATTAAGGTGTTTTCGCTATTTTTCTCCTCATATCATAGCAAGGTTAGCGGTGTATTGGCAAGGGGCGCACTATCATATGGGCGTCGCAGGATCGATTCCAAATCGATATTTTCTAAGGCTAACCGAGTCTTCAAACCTCGGGGGGTTGGAACCAAACTCTTCTGAGAGGATGAAAGCACGGTCGTGATTAGCGACTGCACAATTCATTGTGTAAGCAACATGTGCATTCATTCGAATGCAAGGCGCATCCCTAAGACGGGACAACTAACGACAAAGACATCTTTTTACTCTTTTATCTAACCAGATCATCCAATAAGATGTTAAGACTTGGCTCCAACTCTGCTTCGCAAACCAACTAGAAGCAAATGTTTCTGTCCTTCCAGTGAATTATCGGAAGCCGCTCGTCTTCGACATAAATCTAGCCATGAATCTGTTGAACTTGTTCTCTGTTTTTGAACCTTATCCACCGCCTTTTAATGAGGACCATTTTGTTTGAATTTTTCTTTACTTATCAACTCTATCGGTGAAGATGGCGCTCCGGAGAGCTGCCATAGGATAACCGATTCGGTTTATGCTCAGCGTTATCGTAAATTTCCTATAGGAAGAAGCTGAGGCTGTTCGGGCACCAAGAACCGCTAGAGCAGCTGCCGGTATGCCAGATGAAGGAGAACTCAAAACGGCTACTCCAATGGAGCCTGTAAGCCATTCATTCGTAGTTTAACTGTTAATTTGAGGTTTGATTCTTTTGGTTTTGCCTTTTCCTCTATCTCTCATGCTATACTGACTACCTCCTCTTTACCAAGTGCGTCTCCCCTTTATTATTTAAAGTTTCAAAACAATTATTAGGCATGACCCTGAAAGCGGTTTTCATAGCGGCCACCATTATTTGTGATGTTGGCCTCTTCTACGTCAACGGCCAACTCGCCTTTTCTGTTGAATTTTGAAAATTGGAATTGGATTGGTTAACAGAAAAGGCGAGTTGGTGATTCATGTGGAATCCTTATATACCGTAGCGAAGCCTTTAGCGTCTTAAGACACCTAAACATTCCTCTTCAGTTGCGGTTACCGATGGTTTTTCAAGTTCTCCTAACGGTCAACTCAGGCAGCAGTAACATATTAGTTTTGAAGTTGTAGGAAAACGTTACTCCGCTTGCGCGCATGTCAAAATCTTGTTGATCTATCAGAAGTTGCTCTTTTGCTGTGGAAAGGGAAGGATTTAAATGAGAAGTCATTGCCATTGAACACTGTGATTGCAGGAAGAAAGAGTTGCCACTGCTTTCGCCCCCGAAGGCGTCGAGGGCAAACCGGGAGCTCCCAAGGTAATTTTCCCAGACAGGCGACTGGGTTCTCACCGTTCTCTAAGCAGACGGGAGATGTACTCGAAAACGAAGGAATGAAGAGGTGTTGTAATTACAGGAAGGAGAGCTTGCGACCGCTCTTGCGCCTGAGGGT